TGCCGGAGCACATCACGATGTCACAATGCAGTGACCGATCCCCCATGATGAGCGAGATGGTCTAAGATAGCTGTGATCTTGTCCTGGATCATCACTTCCATGAACACAAGTCTCTTCAGGAGAAGTTGTGTGAACCATCTACGATCGAAGAGCATCAGTCCCTGAGAGGATAGTCAAAACCAAAGGTAAAGTCCTATGAATGGTAGTGTCTAAGTAAGCCAAATCACGATCCTCCATGGTTGAAGAAGTCAACGTACGCTTTGGGCACAAAGTCTCTAGATCAGAAGCAGAAGTAGAATTGCACAAACCATGAATGCCAGCATCTTCGTACAAAAACCGAGGGGACTGCAAATGATCGCACAACCATCGGAAGGATCCAAAGGCCTTGTCAAGATCCGTCGCCATATCCGACAATACAGGATTGGGGAGGGGGGGAGGAGCGTGATGTTGGGAGACGTAGCAGAGGGAATGGTGAAGGACATATGCCGATCATCGGTTGATGTACTGCGCAGAAGTTGAAGCTTGTCTGCAATCCAGTGGAGAACCATAACTTCATTTGGTACAGGAGTCACATTTGGAAGGCACCGAGACAACAGGGTCAGTAGGAGCGGAGGGTGTCGAAGCCGATGTGGAAGTAGTGGGAGGCACCGGAGGTCTGGAATGAGACAGTTTGCAGTATAGATTGAAGATCTTGTGTAAGAATGGTAGTTAAATCATTAGGATCTCATGAAGTAGGAAGCAGCTGTGTGGATGAAGGGAGTGTCACAGCAGGATTTGCTACAGATGAAGTGGTGGGGTCCTGAACCGCAAGCGGAGACGGAGATCGGGAACAACTTGCAGAACTGTGATTTCCAGGTGTGGCTATCAGCCCTGTAAGCAGAAGGTAGATGCTTGCAAGGAGAGTGATAGTATCCAGCATGGGAGGGGTAATCCGGTAAAGGTGTAAAGGTGAATCATAAGAGTACCCATGCCAAGGAGGGGAATCATTCCCATTCACGTGGGAGGTTCACGTAATCCCTGTAAGGAGGAGGATTGCGGCTGTGGCTGATAATGGTCATTATAAGAGTGAAACCAATCCTGTTGGTGATGATGGTCCAGATAACTGGACGATTAGAAGTGACCCAAAGTCTACAAACGTTCCAACAAAGCAGTATGACAATCATTTTCGTAAGTGTTAAGCGAAGAATCCATAGTGAATGACGATGTGTATATGACTGATCCCCAAGCGACGATCCTTAGAAGAGCAACGATCCTTAGAAGAGCGCCAATCCTTAGATGAGTGGCGATCCTGAGTGCACCGAACTCCTGATTGCTGATCCCTGTCCTTCGATCGCAGATCATTGGAGGAGTGTTGATCCCTAGAAGAGCGATAATCCTTGGGGGAGTGCTGATCATTCGAAAGCCGAACTTCCGATCGCTGATCCTTATTGTGAGAGTGTTGATCCTTGAAAGCAAGATTCTTTGAACGTGAATCATGTGAGCGCCAATGGAGACAATTCCCATGGCCACGATCCTTAGAGTGGCGAACTGGTGATTGAGAACAACAAGTCGTAGACGATGAAAAGGAGCGAGCTTCTCCGCTTTGAACTGGAGCATCGTAGTGTAGTAGTGTAACCACAAAGAAACAAAACTATTCTCTCACACACAAACACGTCACAACTGTTGGACGACTAAAAAGAGAGGGATGTGGCAGGGGAAAGTATGTAAGCTTGGGTAGGTCACAGGGCACAGGACTTCAGTGCAGGACCCTATTGTTTGGGTGGCGACCATGGTGATGCTAGGATGTGTCCAGGTGAATTGTTTTTTAGAAGCTGGAAAATTTATTCAAGCATTTTCCACATAAGGATCAAAAGAAGACGGAAAAAATGCATAGTGTGAGATAGGATAAGTTAAAAAATATACAGTTATCAACATGAAGTTTGAAAATGTTGTATTTAGTCACTGATGGCAGAATATGAATAAATATGACTTTCACCTTTAATCCACAAGTAGTAGCCTATTAGTGCTATTGTTTTCAGTGTTTTGTTACTTAAACAAAACATGCTGACTGACACCACTCAAGTGTTACACACAAACATGTGAATAGAGGGCTTTCATTGAAATACATACCCATGTGGTTAAGGGTTACTGGGATGGTAAGCATTTTTTTCAATGATGAATGAGAGGTGTATAGGATAGGGGATATACTGAGGTGTATAGGATAGGGTTGTGCACTAGAAAAGAAGAAGGTTGCAGAGAAGATAGAATAGCAGTATCTAATCTAAGTCAAGAATTGACCATATTTTGTTTATCTTTACACTTGTCTGATGTATAAAATTTATTTTTCTAAGATGATCAAATGTTGATGATTGATGAATGTTGAATGTTGTTGAATGTTGATGATCAAATCATCCTCGGTAAATAAGGCAAGTACACATAGCCTGGACATGATATACATGGGAATTGGGATGCATATTATTATGCAGAGGTATCGACTAATTACATAAATAACATAATGCTAATTACCTTCAATAAACTCTCATGAACAATCCCTCTTATAATTACTTATTCCAACAGATGATATAAGGTTTAATTAATTGTTGGTGAAGTAACTGGATACTTGAGCATTGTTGAAGTATGACTGTTGCCTGATTGAAAATCAATCTATTATCCAAGGTCCAATCATTGCGTGTTGATAATGACCAGTAACATCACAGACACTTGACAGTTTCCGGGATAGTGTGTTTACGACACCACTTCTTTGCTTTGATTGGTAGATAAGTTTATCCATCATTTGTTCATGCATATTGTAAAAGTGATGGCCGATGTTTCATTTTTGATAATAATCAGATATGACAATGGTAGAAATATATCTTAATTGAAGGGACAAGGGGGAGTGCTGATCATTCGAAAGCCGAACTTCCGATCGCTGATCCTTATTGTGAGAGTGTTGATCCTTGAAAGCAAGATTCTTTGAACGTGAATCATGTGAGCGCCAATGGAGACAATTCCCATGGCCACGACCCTTAGAGTGGCGAACTGGTGATTGAGAACAACAAGTCGTAGACGATGAAAAGGAGCAAGCTTCTCCGCTTTGAACTGGAGGATCGTAGTGTAGTAGTCTTACCACAAAGAAACAAAACTGTATTCTCTCACACACAAACACGTCACAACTGTTGGACGACTAAAAAGAGAAGGATGTGGCAGGGGAAAGTATGTAAGCTTGGGTAGGTCACAGGGCACAGGACTTCAGTGCAGGACCCTATTGTTTGGGTGGCGACCATGGTGATGCTAGGATGTGTCCAGGTGAATTGTTTTTTAGAAGCTGGAAAATTTATTCAAGCATTTTCCACATAAGGATCAAAAGAAGAAGGAAAAAATGCATAGTGTGAGATAGGATAAGTTAAAAAATATACAGTTATCAACATGAAGTTTGAAAATGTTGTATTTAGTCACTGATGGCAGAATATGAATAAATATGACTTTCACAAACCTTTAATCCACAAGTAGTAGCCTATTAGTGCTATTGTTTTCAGTGTTTTGTTACTTAAACAAAACATGCTGACTGACACCACTCAAGTGTTACACACAAACATGTGAATAGAGGGCTTTCATTGAAATACATACCCATGTGGTTAAGGGTTACTGGAATGGTAAGCATTTTTTTCAATGATGAATGAGAGGTGTATAGGATAGGGGATATACTGAGGTGTATAGGATAGGGGTTGTGCACTAGAAAAGAAGAAGGTTGCAGAGAAGATAGAATAGCAGTATCTAAACTAAGTCAAGAATTGACCATATTTTGTTTATCTTTACACTTGTCTGATGTATAAAATTTATTTTTCTAAGATGATCAAATGTTGATGATTGATGAATGTTGAATGTTGTTGAATGTTGATGATCAAATCATCCTCGGTAAATAAGGCAAGTACACATAGCCTGGACATGATATACATGGGAATTGGGATGCATATTATTATGCAGAGGTATCGACCAATTACATAAATAACATAATGCTAATTACCTTCAATAAACTCTCATGAACAATCCCTCTTATAATTACTTATTCCAACAGATGATATAAGGTTTAATTAATTGTTGGTGAAGTAACTGGATACTTGAGCATTGTTGAAGTATGACTGTTGCCTGATTGAAAATCAATCTATTATCCAAGGTCCAATCATTGCGTGTTGATAATGACCACTAACATCACAGACACTTGACAGTTTCCGGGATAGTGTGTTTACGAAACCACTTCTTTGCTTTGATTGGTAGATAAGTTTATCCATCATTTGTTCATGCATATTGTAAAAGTGATGGCCGATGTTTCATTTTTGATAATAATCAGATATGACAATGGTAGAAATATATCTTAATTGAAGGGACAAGGATTCTTAAACAAACGTAGAAACAAATCGTCTTCAGATCCAGGGATGACAGCATATAAAGTTGATTCTCAATGTGTCCCAAATATAGTCAAGGGTATGTATGTGTATCAAGGCAGTTCCCAATCATTTGATTCTGACAAGTGAAGTGACAGTTTATACAGATGAGACAAAAAGTGTTGCTTCTGCATTCAAACCATTTTTTTAGAGCTTAAATATGTCATTTCATAACAAATAGTCAGGTCACATAAATTGAGACAGGTCAGCTGTATCTATGAATATATACAACTACATATACATGACAGTGCAAACCTAAACATTTGCCCCCTGCACGCACAATTTTTATTCGACATATTTTGACGACAAGTGCCCTGTTTGCCCACTGTCCCAGTAAATCAGCTGATTGGTGCAAACATTGTTTACATTCAACTGGTTCAATGGCAACACCTAGATTTTCCGTTGTTTCATGACAGAACACACAGCGTTAAAACCGTATAGTTTCACTCATATGTAAATTACAATGACACTGTATATATACACCACATTTGTTCAAAATATAGGTTTTGATGATGGTGTATGATAGTTCTTCTGATGACGTTATGTGCATAAATAGGTTAGATAAACGACTCAACTTACCAAGAACGAACTCCCATTGCTCGTTTCCTAGAGATCTTTCTGGTACTACCTCTAGGTCGAGCATGATGAATTACAGTTAGACTAACTTTCTGACGGTCATTTATTCTATCAGGACGCAGATTTCTCTTGCTATGATGCTATATCAGCAAGTGTTTACATTCAGCGAAATATCTGAACGCCATTTTTGTTTTGCTGCACACAACGCATGCGCGAATCGATTCACTTCCTGTCAGTCGCCTTCAAAGATTTGCGTCGTCTGCTTCGAAATGTAGGTCTATCTGATAATTCGGTCACAAACACTCACATAAAACAACACGACTGCGCATGCCCGAAATGTAATCTGCCCATTGTAGTTTAGCATACTGGCTGTATTCTGAAGCATGTATAATATTTGACCTGTTTGGGGATCAGTGTGTGACGTGGTCCCCGACGTGTTCATGCCATCAACCTCAGGATTACCTAGACTCAGTCACTTACAATTCGACGTCATATATCCCCGTGTTATGGGTTTTCGGACGCGCAAGAAACATTCGCAGATTTCTCTCATATCACATGAACAACTGTACAACATCCCGTTCACTTATAAAAGACAACTTTCTCATAACAACAAGCCATCATCCGAGCATTAAAAAATCTCTGTGTGATGCTACACCGCCTGTTAGAGCGCGACTAGTCGCGATCAACATGGCCGTATGATGTCCGAAAACCTATGATCCGACGATAGCTGAAACAGATTTCATAATGTGACGTAAATACTCAGGGAACAGTCTTCTAAATATTGGTAAAACATTAACGCAATCAAGAATGCACAGCTGCACACAAATAAAAACATGTTTTATTGACCCATGTCCAAATAAACATGTTTGACCCATGTTAAAATAAACATGATTTATTGACCCATGTACAAATAAACACGTTTTATTGACCCATGTAAAAATAAACATGTTTGACCCATGTAGCCCTACAAAAAACAAGTTTTACTGACCCATGTACAAATAAACATCTATGGCCAATGTAGGCCTACAAATAAACATGTTATATTGACCCATGTACAATTCAACATGTTTTATTGACCCATGTACAAATAAACATGTTTGACCCATGTACAAATCAACATGGTTTATTGACGCATGTACAAATCAACATGTTTTACTGACCAATGTACAAATCAACATGGTTTATTGACCCATGTACAAATCAACATGTTTTATTGACGCATGTACAAATCAACATGTTTTACTGACCAATGTACAAATCAACATGGTTTATTGACCCATGTACAAATGAACATGTTTGACCCATGTAGGCCTACAAATAAACATGTTTTGTTTACTCATGTACAGATAAACGTATATTTTATTAACCCACGTATATACTTCGGCCTGTATAGGCCTACTGTAACGTACAGCTGCGAATTCCTGTGCCTGAATTAATGTCAATCTTTAAAATAAATACAATTAGAAACTGGAAAAGTAACAAAATGGTACCGTAGATTCTGAAGCCATACGACCTAATTTTTCAGCTGAGATTTCGACCGCCATGATTAAGTGATAACGTGAAGTCTGATATGTATAAATTATTGTTTACTGCGTGCGTAGTATACAATATAAAATATATACAGCAGGTGACTAGTCTGACGCTATGGCATATATATTGCTTTACATATAGAATACACATCTATTTCCTATTGTGATGGTATCATGTTATGTGAAAGTATTACTGGCGATCGAATTATTTCTCCCCAGATGTTTGTTTCATAGACTCACGAACCTCGACTCTTTTTTTAAATACATAAAACGAAAACGAGCTTACCCTTTCTTTCCGATCCTCGATTATCTATTGTATTGTATAAACATTCTCATAAACATGTATCATAATAGAATGGAGATATGATACAATGAATAATCGAGTATGGACCAAACAAGGGTTCGAATTTTCCCTGAAGCATTAGGAGATAGATCTACATAATATATGCTACTCCGCTTTAGATATCTTTCCATGATATTCAAAACTAATTCTCATAATGTCACGTGTAGACCCATGTTCAAATAGAATGACACATCCGATTTCCCTCTCCAAAGTTGAGCAGTATATACACGGGAAAAGCGGGCCAAGTCCCCCTGGAAGAATGCATGTTTTTGTTTTTAGCACCCCCACGCCATGTCACCACCCTTCAACCCCTGCCTGACAACCCCCATACCACCCTACCCCACACAACCCCGTTCGTATGAAATATGTCATGTTTTGTGACCCTTCCCTATAACTATCGCATCTGTATGCATGCAACAAAAGCCAACCCAAACGTTAATTATACACCTAATGGGAGATGTGTCACAAAATATCCCTTATCATCAACTCCATCACATCTGACCTAACAACCGACAAAGAGATACAGTTTAAAGTGAAATACATGTAACAGTTAACAATTATATAATTTTTTTTTATATCTATTACCTGCAACAGCAAGACACATTAGTTGTTCGAGACACCTATTAACGTCAAGCATGTTAAATCACTTGGGGTTTTTTCTTGTTAGCTAACCTGGTCATGCAATTTATCTTAATTCTCTGTACAGAGTTGCGTTCCTTAGATGTGCCAGAACCCTATGATCGTCGGTTCAAATCCCGGTTCGCCCTGATTATGTATGTTTCTGTCGTCAGCAACATACCCGAGAACGTGGGTTTTACCAAAGTGTAAACGTGAAACTGAGATATGGTTTCTTTGTTATGGGGATTACCGTGTAGGCTGTAGATAATGAAGATCATACACGTTAAACCCGTAAAGATCCGGGGTAGAATAGGTCTTCAGCAACCCATGCTTGCGGTAAAAGGCGACTAGGCTTGTCGTAAGAGGCGACTAACGGGATCGGGTGGTCAGGCTTGCTGACTTGGTTGCTGCATGTCATCGTATCCTAATTGCGTAGATCGATGCTCACAATGTCAATCACTGGATTGTCTGGTCCAAACTCGATTATTTTCAGACCGCCGTCATATAGACGAAATATTGCTCAGTGCGGCGTTAAACAACAAATATACAAACAAACATTAACGTTAAGTTAGAAGATGGATAATGATTTGTGTGAATGACACGATTCAACCCTTTTAGTCTGCCAACCGACCCGAGCCTGAATGGCACTGCTTGTTCGTCTTTCGTTGTTCGGAAACATAATCAGTGCTCTGAAACCGCACTCGGGACCAATTTTCATAATGGTCACCAAAGCCGCCATATTGGAATGTGAGAGAGTGTGTGAGCGAATGATGTTTGCCCCACATCTTCAAGTTATATTACGGTGGCCTATTTATATTAGTGTGGTTGGTAGCAATAAGGTTTCATTTGTGATTTGATATCGATGGGTGTATTACATACAACAAGCTAATAGGTGATTTGAATTTCATTTGCCATTGTCTGTCGTCAGTATTATTAACATACATACTGCACTTTCATGAGCACCGATCCACTGGGGCATGACGACACATTGTGACAATACAACTCTTATTCCAGGTGTCTCCCACATGGGCGTCGAGGACCGAAACTCAACGGAATCCCCACGGTGAACAATATTGGAAAGAGTATCATCAAAATACGGTATGTAAACTTAATGATAGTTTCTAGCTATTACCGGCAACTGTCCAGTTACAGGAAATTCTAGGTAATCGAATTGGAGATATCCTGATAGATATAAAAATAATATCCAGCGGTAGAAACTAACAGGTTTTTTTGTCCACTAGTCCTTATAATGATAACATATAGCAAAACCTTTAAAAAAGGAAAATTTCTACTAGTCCTTATGATAGCTTAACTATTGGGCAGTTTGGCAAGGACTACGGGACTAGTGCCAATTTCTACCGCTGATAACTCGACATTTTTCAGGTTTGATCCCATTTCTGATTCAGACTGGCATCCCCTCTAAAAAAACTACTAATTTGCAATCATGCTTGTGGCTTCTATAACCACCACCTACATGGTAGATCGAACAGAAAACAATGGTGATATTACTGGCATAATGCTGGTTTGAAGTGTGTTGAACGAAGCGTTACAACTATGGAAGGTGAGCTACACAACACCCGCTATATTGTCATACTGTTCGTTTTTCTGGTTGATATTAGGCATGATTTATTTTCGCAGAGTAATCAGTATCAACATATCTCATAAACTTCCGCCACAATTACAGCCACCCCTATCCCTCATGACTCTGTTAATCAGACACCATACCGAGAACATGCAAGCATCGTTCCGGTCTCAATTCAAACCTTCGCCACAGGGTCCAGGCACATACATTCGGTTTTTCTTCTCAATCCTGTATATGAAACATGTGTGGTTTAATCTGTATTTTCTTTCAAGGTTTAATGATACACTGAAGGGCACAGCAAGGGGCCACAATTCGCTGTGCAGAGTTGCGTCCCTTGGGCATATGAGAACCCTACAGTCGCGCGAGTGACAGATTCGCACTGATCATGCGTGTTAGTTTGTCAACACCATGCCCGTGATCGTGGGTTTCACCAATGTGGTAATACCGTCATCACGTATGGTTCTCCTTCCACATCAAGCTCACACCTCGTGATATTACATTTCGTGCAAAACTGTTCAAAGCGGTGGAAATCAAATTCACTAGGTTTGGAAACGTGGCAGTTCGTGTTTAATGAACGTCAGTTTCGCATTTGTTTGACTGGCTTCTCATCCAATGGAAAGTCCGTTTCCGAAGATGTCGATGTACCGCTAAAGATCCGTGATTTGGTCAATATTTAATACATTAAAATGCATATACCGTTTAGGTGAATGTGTTTGTTTGCTTGTTGTTTAACGCCGCACTAAAATATATTCCAGCTATATGACGACGGGTAGGTGAATGCGACGAAGTAATACAAACTTGAACAAACGAAACTGTAGTGCAAAAGATACATATAGTCTTAAAGACATGGATTTGCCTCGAGTTTAAATATATTTCAGTTTTGGATAAGATTTATCACTACCAAAAGATAACGTTTGTTCAGCGAGATTGGAAAAATCGGAAACCCACTCACATCCGAATTTGGAATCTTAGGTTCTTGTAGCCTGAAGGGACAACCTCACAGTGTGACATATTGGGGCTGCAGATGATGCGATATTTTTTTTTGCCCCAATCCTCAAAATTTATAGCTCTTTCAAAACAAAATGACACAATCGATAACGATTATTACAAAAATTGCACGCTTTATTGGCTCACAAAAGGCCAGGGGACGCGGAGGGTGTAGGAACAGTCATTGAATAGACTCTACAGGAAACCATAGCAAGCCCCACACCCAGAGGGCTGTGGGTGATGGCGGAGTTTGGGCAGAAATCGGTACAAACGCCATGACCCCGAGGTATCTACAACAGTTGTGTTTTATGTTATTGCAGCATCGCGGATTGTATTGAACGCAACAACCACTTTTGTTTTCCTACGGACCAGAACCGTGTTATACAGAGGGTTTGGTTTCAGCGCGTAGCAGGTAGCGCTGTCTGTTGTTGAACCGCCATCTTAGCACATCTTTAGTAACAGCTAGTCCGTATTCATTTTAATGTGTTTAACTTGCAGTCTTATAACTGGATATTCTGACAATTTATGTATTTTGTATTGCATCTCCAGTCATCCACGTAAATGAAACTTGGATGACTATCATGCATGTGCTGGATCTCGTTTTACTGACAACTTTACCACTGGGATTAAGGTGACAGCGCCATGTTGTAAGATGCGACTATGCTACACAGTCTTTGTATAGTTCCACATGGACCATGTGTAAAACTGAGATGCTGTTCTGTGTAATAAGTATAATTATTCATTAACCGTAAGATTGATATTCATCATGCAATTTGAGTTAGCTTACAAAACAATGGGTTTTGCATGATGTAGCCCATGTTTGATGGTGGCTAAAATGAGACAAATAAGAAATGGTTATTCGATGGTGATACGGGTAGCATAATTGCGTTTTCAGCCCAGTAACGTTTTGATAACGTTTGAAATGTCTATTGTGTTTGTTGTTGTAATAAACAAGTGTATACTTTCTTTTGCCCGGCAGTTTAGTACCCCTTGAACATCACGTTGCTTTGGATTGAGTGATCCGCGACTGTCGTGTGTGTATCATGTCTTTCTTATCGAGCGTGTATAGAATATATTACATCTCTATTTTGTTATATTTATCATAATAATTGGTACTACCTCCGTGGTGTAGTGGATAAGGCGTCTACCCGGAGAGCGGAAGGTCGATGGTTCGATCCCATGGAACCAAAAGACGTTAAGATAGTATACTTATTGTTACCCTGCCTGGCGTTCGACTTTAAACTTAAAAGAAGGACTATAGTCGGCTCGGAGTCAGTAGTCTATGAGGCGTCACGTTTGTTAAGAGTCTGCGTGACTTGATTTCAGCTGGTCATAACGTTACGAAGTGCAGAGTTCGATCTACACAGATCGACAAATTTAGACAAGGTAACAATTCCGGCATATTTCGACCAAACTGAACTGTTTTAAATTGGAGAAAGGACCCAAACCGCAGAGGTCTACAAACACCGATTATGGAAACTGATCCCGCTTGGCTGGCGTCCTTGCAAAACTGTTTCACAATACATATCTCCAAAGTTGCCCAAACTTTCAAACGTCTCAGCTACGTCCAAGTTAGACATGGATTTCAGTGTATTGGACTGTTGCTTTGATAATGATAACACTTATCCAAGTAGTTTCCCCACATTCTGACTCGATCGTCGATTGACAAGGGCGACGCCATGTTTGTTTGGAAACAATGAGAGTACCTACTTGACTTTTAATTCTTGCATCTACATCCGTATATGACCCCAACGGATACCTTGTTTATCCGTTGGCTTATCCAGCAGAGACACCTACGCATTATAGGATAGATATATATATGTATTGACTATTATCGTATTTGAAATTGCGTTTTCTATTTGCGGTACCGGCACTTGACTTGCAATTCATATTGACTGGGCTCCCGTCTACCTAAACTCGTAAAACTAAAAACACTAAGCTAGCGTCGCGTACCAACAGTGGAACCAGTTTTCAATTCATTTTGTTTAGGGGTTGTTTCCCATCGTGTAAATATTGCATGATTGTCAAATATCAACATGCTTCAAAACAAAAAAATCGTAGATACAATGATTTTATTATCAGCACACCGGCATAAATTGATCAAGGAACATTATAGCCCACTTCATGACCAAGCCTAGAATAACACATGCTTCACGAGACAAATGTTCCTAAATATTGAGTCGAGACAACGCAATTCTACAGTAATTTATTGATCAAATCGGATAAATTTTTGTGATCACCAAATCATATCATACATATCTAAAGTGGAACCAAGTCATTGTTCCAAGCCCCACGCTCTATCACATCCTTGGCCTCTCCAGGTGGTATACATGCGACCTACGGTACAAGAATAACAAAAAAAAAAAAAATATAATAAGAAAAATATGATATGTCTCCTCCCATAACCCTAAGCAGTGGTAGTAAAGTAAATGTGAGCTTCATATAGCAGACAATTCTCCCCTCCAAGGTCACGTGCCACGCCTCCCTTCGACCTCCACCACCCCCTAGCTTTACCCAACGTCAACCATCAGACTCGGGTCGACACGGTGCCAGCTATGTAACATACAGCGTCTTGACATAATGGCGCAGCATAATTGTCAATGGGGCGGGTATTAGTCAGAGCAGCGGTCATTACCGTGGCTACTTATGATCCCCGTTACCCTCAGGCAATCGGGTTTGTTCATTGCCGGATATACATTATATTTTATTTCAGTGTTACATCGCGTTTGGATGAAATCTGGATGATGTATGACGACTTTGAGCACGCCCGTTATCAAAACTATCCATGTAATCATACAACGGACACACGCTATACTCCGGCTCAGTCCTGGTTGGTATTTCGGCTACCATTGTTTCTTTTCGTATCGCCCCAGGGTGAAACTCGATTCACTTTGTTTAATGCCTGATGCTGTATGATTTTTATCGATTGCTAGGTATGACAAAAATGAATTATTGTTTATAGTCAAATATTCTTTTCGAACGGAGGTAAAAGATTATTGCCACGGCATTGCGACGGCGATTATACCCTGAGGTACCGCGCAGCCGTAGAATTACCCTAATGCCTTGGCGTTCTGACACTGTACATAAGTCCGTGGTATCCCAGGCGTTAGGTCCCTTTGACAACGCTCTCAATAATTTTCGGTTTAACCACGGGGAACTCACTTGTTCGTATTTAACCTGAAAGGGGGGAATTTCATCAGTCACAAAGATTTTTGACACATAAGGCATAATTTTATCGCTATTATATGACTGGGACTCATGCGACGCTGTCCTCACATGTCCAGTATTAAGGAAACCATTGAGAGGGACTAATTGTTTTTTGAATTGGTTTTTATCGTGTTTCGAACATTGCAATTCATACCTAAAATCATTCACGACTTGTTGTAATTGAAGGATCATTGTGAATCAAGTTACAAGGAACATTAATTCTTATTTGAAGATTTTTTTTCTTGATGTTCATTGTATTTAAATGAATTAGAGGAAATAATATTTAGCTATAGACGAAGTGAAGTCTGTAATTTGGCCAAGT